GTTAGCCTTTATTGTTTACTTCAAAGATTTCAGCTTTCCTCAAGATACCTTACAACTTATATCGTCACAATCAGTCGGGGGCGGTGTCAAGAGGCATGGAATGAACCCACTCAAACCGTCTACCGCTCCTCCCCCCCCCTCCCTCCGCATTTCGATGACAGTACCTTGTCAGCTGCAGCTGATCAGCTGAAGGGATTTGGAAAACTATGGTGTTACTGTTACTGGTGGTGTTACAAGTGGTTTACTGTTTTTGGGCTCTGGAGGGTTGTTCGATAATACTGAATGGAACATATAATATTTATTCGATATGACTTGGGAGTTTCGGCTGAATCGTCCCCTTCAGAGGAGGTGATTACAAGACAAGAAAAGCTGGGGAGTCCTCCCAGTTGGGATTATACCTTGGAACGCTCTGAAGTAAAATGACTAGAAATCGAATTATGGTGCAAGTAACGAGGTAACCTCTAAACTAATTTTCACTTTCAGGTATTCACCACTTGGCATAGCATTTCTGATTGCGTCGCAAATTGTCGGAATGAAAGACCCAGGGAAGGAGTTGCAAAGGCTCATGGGTTACATGATCACCGTGCTTATTGGACTGTTCATTCACGGTTTCGTCATGTTGCCGATTCTCATGATTACGGTAAATGGCTTTGCAGTGATTAAATATTCAAAACAGTAATGAGGAAGTAGTGTGTGTTGGAGGCCTTCAGCTTGAGGAAGTGAGCATACAGTTTTGTTCACTGTGGATGACGGGGCGTGTTAATAAGGACGAGTTTGGCGCGCCGCCACCCCGTTCTCAAAGTTGAGAAAAGGGTAAGCGTCAATAACTGGTGAAAAGACTCATGCTAACGAAGTGACACATTCTTACTCATCCCGAAGCGCAAAACGACGGACTGGCACCCCACTGCCCCGCTAAACCTTCCTCCCTTGACACGCCCCATCTTTGCGGTGAACAACACTGTATGTGATCAGTGATCATCAGCTTTAGCACCACTAGAATTTCTCCTGAGAATAGCACGGAGCCACTTTACACATCGTGCAAATGTGCGACATGCGCTATCACAAGCGCTTTATGCGACATCAGATGCAGACCACTGGAACAACACATTCCAAGCTGCTAAGTTGTAATTATAATATTTGTAATCAAGAATTAAGCTAAGGCAGCCCACAAGCAGGGTGCCAAAGAAGTAATTATTATATAAGGTACTAATTGTTTTTTACCATTTACCAGCAAAATTCCTGCTCAAAATACACGGCAGGTTTGCGTGGCTTAGTGCGGTAACATTTTGCTAGGAACCTGAATAATCCACAAGCAGCACCTTCTCGCACTGAAGCCTTCAACAGTGACTGTTGCGAAACTTAAGTTCCATTCATTATCGTTGAATTACAGCTGGCAAGGCGGAACCCAATCAAGTACGTTTACGGAATGGCACAAGCGCTTTTAACCGCACTTGCTACGAGTTCCAGGTAACGGATACTTTCTTTGACCATTTGATAGGAATTTTTTCCTTCTTTTTTTCCTTTCTAGGGAGCTTTCATTTTGCTCTGTGATTCCTAGTCAAATTTTGTTGAACTCATATTACATTAGTTGTCTCGCAGCTGTCGAGCAACTCAGCAGATGAAGTAGTTGAGAGCCACTTGGATTTTGAAGAAATTGCAGTACTTCACATAGTTAAGTCCGAATGGGAGCAAATGACATATACCAGGAGTTAATTAGAAGTTAATCGCACAGTGCTAGCTGCATAGTTCTTCCGTTCATATTTGCAGAGTTTCCTAATGATCGACAAAACATACATACTACCTGATGCACAGAACGCAGCAAAATCACTAATTTCTAGTTCTGCTACGTTACCGCTTTCCATCAAATGCGTCGAGGAGAATAATGGTGTGGACTCTCGGGTAGCACGATTCGTCCTCCCACTTGGAGCAACTATGTAAGGATTGTATTCATTTCATTTTTGCAAATTTTACTTCGAGTGCTCGTTATTTTTCGCCCTAGATGAGCAATTGAGAAGCTGCTGCGTTATACACTACGAGTAGACGAGTTTAGGAGTTTTTTTATCACGGGGTGTCATTTTGGGAAATGCTTGTTGAAAAAACACGCAGACACCCTTCATTAGTTGACCCGATATACTGTGTCACTTCCATATCGCAACCATCAGGCCCTGGTTTGGATGCCACGTGCGTGATGTCGTTTGAAACGCCGCCTAGCCCCAACTGGTATGTCACGACCGCTCAAAGGGGGATTAATCTTAGAATGAATGCTTTATTTGTTCGAAGGTAATTTTTACACGATGAGAACAGTTTCATAAGTGGTAGCTAGTTAGACACTCTGTCCTTAGTCCCATGATGAATGACCCTTGGTATATTTCTGGAGCTACCTGATGTTTTCCTATGCGATCTATTTTTTGCCATCAAAGATTCTGTTTTCCCTTTCTGCTTTTTTGCCTTTAAATCCAAGTTTTTTTCCAGAAACATGGACGGTACCGCTTTATATGAAGCGGTCGCTGCTATCTACATTTCCCAGTGTGTTGGCCTGGAACTCACGCTGGGTCAAATAATTCTTGTCAGGTTAGCGCATACTTTTAATGTCAAGTTACTGCTTCTTTGACTGCGGTCGATAATTGGAATAACGTTTATTGGCTGGCTCACTTTTCGGTGAGAACTCCTTCTTTGGAACCTGAAAGGATGAAAACTAGATTCATGAACTGTTCAACCACTGCTCTTACACTGCTACAGAGACTTCAACCCCATCTTAGCCATCAGGTAACAATAGGAAGGTGGTATTACAGTACCTTGCCAGATGTACTATGAAACCAACCACAAGAGAAGCCAGCTTCATAGTTTCCAAGCGGGACTCCTGATTGCGATTGATCCGGGAGGCCCCTGTCCTATGTATGCTATTGGCCAACCTAGTGAACTTGGCGGGCTATGGTTGTTACATCTCCTTATTTTTTAGTGATTGTTTAGAGGAGGGAAAAGGTTTCTCTAAAAGTGTGAGACATTTGGTGGTTCATAAATCGATTTTTATCTTGTCAAGCCACGAAGTCTAACTCACCGAAACTTCAACCAGTCAGGTAAACATTGTTTCCAAACTCAAGCGCACTTGATTAAGCAACTATCGTAAAGTCAAAGCCCCTGCACACAATAGGACGTGTGGCGGGACACGGATTGTAGTGTTGCCAAGACAGCCTCCCGTCAATGATGCCATCCAAGGCTCCGCAACAATCGGCAGGAGGACTGTTCTTACTGCCACCCAGTTCGTAACTCCTCGCCCTCCCTATCATTTGTAGGGATCATAACTGTACATCAGAATAGTACCCTCACTGCTAGCCAAACTTGACATAATTTTAGTACCCTTGAAATCCACAGCGATCATCTCCGACATTCACAGAATGTTTTTCACCAATCCGACATTCACACAATATTTCTCGTCAAAGTGCTCTCGTTGAAAAGCATCTATAGATGATTAAGGGAGAATTTTTTTCTCAACATTAGAAACTCATTTTCAGCCTCACCGCAACATTAGCCAGCATTGGAGCCGCTGGTATCCCACAGGCAGGTGTGTGAATAAGAGACACCATAGATCTAGTCTTCGAATTTTCCATAATTACTCGAAGTCCTTGAAAAGCATTGTTCAAGGAATTGTAACCATGATTATGGTACTGATCGCCATTGGATTGCCATCAAACCTGTTCATTTTGATATTCCCCGTCGATTTCTTCTTGGACAGAATTCGTACAACAGTAAATGTTCATGGTGATAGTATTGGTGCTGCCGTTGTTGGAAAGCTTTGCGAGAAGTACTTGAAAC